TTTGCTCTATTCTTTTTTTCTGTGTGTATATGTGAGTATGAGAGTATGAGTGTGGGTCTCTGTGTAAGTGTCAGTCTGTCTGTGTATGTGTGTGAAGAAGAAGGAGGAGAGGGTGATGTGGACTATATAGCGTTTTTTCTTTTCTTTTGCATTCATCTCTGCTGTGTTGTTGATGAGGTGATAAAGAGGATAGTGAGTAGATAGTTCTGCATTGTTGTTGTTGTTGTTTATTTTTTTTTTTTTTTTTTTTGATTGTGATGGAGAGTTTCATTATTTGTTTGTTTGTTTGTTTCTGATTACTTCAAGTGACTCACTCATGCATACACACACACACACACCTTACATGCGTATATATATATATAATATGTATATTTCCATATGAGTATGGTTTCTTTCTCTTTTTTAGTATCTTCTTATTCTTCTTTTAGTTATATCTGTTGTTTCTAATTCTTATTTTGTAATTTTTTTTTTCCCCCTTTTCTCCTTTCTCACTTTTACATTATTATTCTCATCACACCTCCTATACTTCATGGAATAGCCATTTCCACATTCACATTCACATTCTTATTCACACACACAGTAGAAAGAAAAGAAAAAAAAAAAAAAAAACGGGGGAAATGGAGTATCGCCGCAAGTCTGCACGGCTGCCTAAATCCGCAGAGGAAAAGATACGCTGGCGGCGTGTTATTATCATTATTGAACACTGTCCACTCACCGTTGTGCGTACGGATTATGGTTTCGAATTACTCTCTGATAAACACCGATCTCATCACGCCCGCAGTGGCGCAGATCCCGCGGAATGGCGTCCAGACGTTGTCCATCAATTACTTTTACATCTCCTCGACTCCCCACTCAATCGTGCGGGATTATTGCAAGTTTTTCTACGCACAAAGAAGGGAGTGGTGATTGCGGTGGATCCACGACTGCGTGTACCGCGGCATATGCGATTATTTGAAAAGATGATGGTATCGTGTTTATATAAGATGAAAGTACGGGCCGCTCATGGACATCTTTCACTTCTCCGCGTGGTGCGAAATCCCGTCACGGATCATATTCCCGCAAACTGCACAATGATTCGTGTGGAGAAGGACGGCGATGAAGTGCCGGATCTTTACGCCTTCTGTGCCAAGTGCGGGATTGCCGATGAATATAAGAATATCAACACACCAAATGGAACTAGCAGCAACAGCAACAACAGTAGCGGTAATAACAAGAAGGATGAAACACCTGTAGCTGTGGGTTCTTCTTCCTCTTCTTCTTCTTCTGCTTTGAATGCAAATACAACAGAGACGCACTTTGCCCAACAACACCGCGATGCCGCTGCGGCTCGGGAGTTCCGTCCATTTGCTTTTGTGATTGGTGGTATGTCGAAGGGAGACGTGGATGCGGCGTATGCGCCTAAGGGGCAAGTGAAGAGTATTCGTCTCAGCGACAGAAGTATGTCCGCCGCTGCCGCCTGCAGTGCGATTGTACATGCATTTGAAGAGGAATGGCTAAAAGAAGATAATGAGGCCGAGTAATTGTTTGAAATTCCTCTACTCTACATACCTATATACCAGTATATATATATATATGGCTGTTGTTGTGATGATGATGATTATTATTAGGGGTTGGTGTGTTTGTGCTGCCGCTGCCTGTGAATTGAATAGAGGAAGGGGATAAGGTCTGGAGTAGTGGTGAGAGGAAGAGAGAGAGAGAAAAAAAAAAGAAAAAGACAACGTCTAATACCCGTTTAAAGAAGAAAAAACAAAAACCCTCTGTGATGGGATTAAAAACAAAAAAAGGAAAGAAAGAAAGATAAGGGAGAAGAAGAAGAAGAACAAAGAGAAAAAAAAAAACCTGATACTTGGTCTCTCTCTCTCTCTCTCTGTCTGTCTGTCTGTGTAAGTGTATACGTGTAATTTCAATATTAAAATAAAAGATTATGATGTCATCTTATTTTTTGCCTATGCTTAGATTTGAGCTTTATACTCTAATACCTCATTTATCTCTCTTTTCTTTTCTTCTTTTCTTCTTTGCTGTTTGTTCTCACTTTTTTTCTTCTTCTTTACACTTCTTCCAAATGTACTTTTGAAAGTGGGGGAAGTCGCGTGTCACTTTCTCGCAACGACGTGGAAAGTGAGGACGTGCTCACTCTTACACGTGTAGGTGTGTGTGTTTGTTTGTTTGTTTGTTTGTTTGTGTGTGTGTAGAGAGAAACAAGTGGAAGTTGAGAGAAGTGAGAGATTCAAGGAGAGAGCGCGACTCCTCCAGTCCCACACAGATAAAATAAGAAGAAGAAAGGAAAAGGAAAAAGAAAAAGAAAGTGATTGCGTAAGTGAAAGTACAAGGGGACGGTATTTTGCGAGTGAATTATTATTATATTATTATTATTAAAAGGAAAGTAATTTTCAAAAAGGAAAGAACCTGACGGTGGAGTGGTAGAATAGGAAAAAAAAAAAGGAGAAGGAAAAGAAAGAAAAGAGGGTATACGCACTCACACACATACACACGAACGCGTGAACACCAGTGAAGAAAATAAAAAAAAACAAAACAACAACAACAACAACAAAGAAGAAGAAGAAATACATAAACAAATAAATAGAGTTAGTTGGGTTGAGTGAGTAACCGAGTAGAGAATAGAAAAAAGAGAAGAGAAGAGAAGAGAAGAGAGAAGAGATACATCATAACTCATATTTAGTATGGGTGGTTGCTACTCTAGTGATCAGAGAAAAAGGGATGGTGTACCATGGAATCGCTCTCATCAGGCTGGTAATAATAATAGTAATAATAATAATAATAAAATGATCCCCACATCCTCCTCCTCCCCATCCTCTTCACCAGCCACACCTCATCGGAGTCAGGCTCAACGTCGGGAAAGCACAAAAACAGAAACTTCACTCTCCTCTCATGAGGAGCGAGTGGCTCCACTCTTGTCTGGATGGGATCGACCAAAACTCACTATATTTACAGAGATGAATGCGGATGAGGAAGAGGCACGGTTAACGGCAAATTCATTTGTGGATGGTAACAAGTATGCCGCCACGCCTGTAGTGGCTGTTACTCCGTTTGCCGCGAGAGACTCCCGCATGCTCGCCGCCTCCATCTTTCAAGAACACTATGGGAAACCAGAAACCCCTAGAGAACCAGAAAAGGTAGGCGAGGCAACAACAACAAAAATACAGGCTGAACATAATATGGGGAATGACAACAGTGAAATAAAAGAAAAAAAAGAAAAGGAAGAGGAAAAAGAAAAGGAGAAACAACTACATCATTCATTTACAACAGGAGGAGGTCCACCTGCGGAAGAAGGATCAATGGCAATGATGAGTGGTGTTGTGCCCTTGTTGGAATCCAAAGTGAAGGAATCGGAGTCGTTAGAAGGTACCACTTTGCTGTCATCACCACCGGAAGGATCTATGGATGAGACTATGCGACCAGAACACGAAACACATATTAAACAAGAAGAAAAAGTAAAAGAAAAGGAAAATAAAGAAAAGAAAGAACATGAAGAAGGCGATTATGATAGATTGGCGGAGTATAGTTTATTGGAGGAGGATAAGGTAACGCCATTAGTAGAGGAGTTTACTGAAACCCCTAAAACAGGAAAGCGACGTTTTTTTATATTTCGACGTAGTCAAAAAGATCCCTCTAGTTCGGATAAAAAGAAGGAAAAGGGAAAAGATAAGGAAAAAGATAAAAAATCTACTAAACATAGTGCTGAAGGAAAGTCATTAGAAACGGAAGATAAATCTCAACTCCTTACACGTGAACAAGTGATTCAAGTTGGTTGGCAACGACTCCAACAACGTCTGGATGAACTCAAACTTGTTGAACACCGCGTGAAGGATGATGGGAATTGTCAATTCCGTGCAATTGCCCAACAATTGTTGGGTTCTGAAGAATATCATGAACTTGTACGAGCACATATTGTTACGTATATGAAAAGTGTACGAGAACGTTTTGATTGTTATTTCCCTAATAAGGAAGAAGCGGATAATTACTATAAAGGATTACTACGTCAAGGTAGTTGGGGGGATGAACTCACACTTCGTGCGGCTAGTGATAGTTTATTTATTAACATTCACGTTCTCTCATCAGAGCAGCAGAATTTCTACATTACATACCGTCCAGGTACAGATGCCCCACCACCTCCCGCTTTTCTCATTGATGTAGCGACACTTCGCGAACAACATCGACAACAACAACAACAACAACGGAGTTCTACCGCTTTAAATCGTCAAGGAGGACAAGGTGTGGTAGAAGAAATAGGAGGAGAGGGTTTCTTTAGTTGTAATAAGACACCTAATCAATTACCGGTATTTACAGCCTTGGACCCCACCTCACCAAAACAAAACTCAAAAGTGGTGGAGAGTAATAATGAAGAAGTTGGGGATGAAAGTATTGTGGATGCCTGTGCACTTCAACGTTGTCTACAACGTAAATTAGCCACCTCAACCATTCATACAACCGCTACAACAGTTATGGATAAACCAATAAATGGTGCTGGTTGTATTACCACTGCACTTACGGGAACGGAATCACGATTGACATCTGATATTTTTGGATATCTAACACCTGGTGATACACCTTGTAAACCCACAACAACAACAACTGGTGGAAAATGTTGTAATGGTCCTTCTATAAATGATAAGGGTAATATGGATACGAGTGTTGTGGTTGGTGGTGGTAGTGGTGGTGTAAATGCGAGTTTTGGAACCTTAAGTGCTCCAGCGAGTTCTGTGAATACCTCAACACAGGAGATTCATCTACTTTCTGCTTCTCAAGATATTGCCAAGTTTTATGCGATGGGCGCAGAGAAAATGGATAACACCAAACAACAACAACTCATCGTTCTTATACCAAGTTCCACCATAGTAACGAATACAGGAGAATATAATCATACCCAACATAATAGTAATAGTGGTGGTGGTAGTGGTAGTAGTAATATGCATCGTTGTCTAAATAGTGAACATCACCCACCATCATCAACATCCTCATCGCATCAACAACAACAACAACAACAGCTGCAGTCACTGGACCTTTCGGTATCTGCACAAAGTGCACCGAGAAGTTTTATTCTATTTCCACAAGGAAATAGAACGAATGGTGGAAGTACACCCGCTGGACCTGGTAGTGGATGTGATCAAGTAACATCCCGTCCACATTCCCCACAATTTTCATTTGAGTTAGATGCGAGTAATGGAAACGGTTTAAATAGTGTCTACTCCGTACCGGAGGATGAGCAAAAGGTTTGCTTTACCTTTGAAGCCCACTCCGAACCCATTGATGTGTTTCTCTCCTATTTATCACCTGTCCATTATAATGCCTTAAGTTTAGCGGAATGCCATCTCACCTCTCACAGTGAACAACAGCCATCTCAACAAGGACAACAACAACAACAACAACAACAGCGAGAGGAGTTCAGTGGTGGTGGTGTGATGCCCCGTCCGTGGAGTTTCTGTGTTCCCGAGCACGAGACCACGGTGCCGTTTTTAAGGAAGAGTGTCTCCGTTAATGGCTTTTGATAGTAATAACTGCCGGGAAATGTTATTTAGATTGGATTTGGAAGGAGAAGAAGAAGAAGAGGGAGGAGGAGGAAAACAGGTAGTAAAGTAAGAGAGAAGGATTGAGTTAACGCAGCTAAAAAGGAAAGGAAGGGAAAGGAAAAGGAAAAGGAGAAAGAAAAATAGAAAAAGTAAGAAAGTGTAGGAAAGAAAAGAAAAAAATAAATTTAAATAAATAAATATATGTTTCAATGTTATTTGATGAGTATTGTCCCTCTAAATAGAGAAAAAAAAAGGAAGAAAAAAAAAAGACAAAAATCTTGAAGTGTTGTTTCTGTTTATTTATTTATTTATTTATTTATTT